CATTTTATAAATCAATTGTGTAATTTGTTTTGAACTTGTAAAATTGTGTAAAGAGTTTTGTAATGAACTCTTATACACTATAATTTGTGTATTGGAAGAGAATGGATGGACAAGGGTTGAGGATTGGAAAGAATTGGAAAAAATATGGGCCCCAAGTACAGGTACTTGAGTTAGTAAGTACTGGTACCACGCTGACGGATGGTCCAAGTACAGGTACCTAGACTTACGGGTATCAGTACCTGAATTCCAATAGGCTCAGGTACCGGTACCTAAGTGATTAAGTATCACTACCAGGCAAATGGAAGGGACCTGACAAACAGAGGGCTCAGGTACTGGTACCACATGTAAGAGGTACCCGTACCTCTTCCAAATTTATTTTAAAAAAATTTATATATAACTCTATCAAACCTTTAAAACAATGATGTAATTGGTCAAACATTAAGTTCTAATTAATGAGGATGAACCTTGAAATGGCCAAGTGGTTGATATGTACAAAGGTTATACGTTTGAGAGTGCTCCGGTGCAAGAGAGACTCTATTCAAACTCCGAGTGGGTTATGATCGCGATGAAGGGAATGTGATGACGTGGTGCCGGGTTATGCAGCATTCAAGGGTAATTTCATGGGTTGATGGGTGATCAACAGTTTGAGAAAGGACCTCTAGATTTTGGGGCGTCACAAATGTTGCATGATTGAACAGATTCTATTTTGGGTAAAACCCCCCACACAAAAAAAACTCTACCCGAATTTTGTTAAGTTATGGATTCTGATAAATAGTTGTAAGGTCATGATATCGAGTTACACGTTATTCATAGGTATTCCGCGAATTGATGGGTAATCAACGAGGTAAATAGGACCCCTAATAAATAAGGCATCACAATATTTGGGAGAAAAGTTTTCCAAAGTCTTCCAACGTGGAATTGGCCTATAAATGAGATATTACCATTCAAATTTAGCTATTTATAAGGGATTGTTTGATAACACCACTTAAAGCCTAAAACTTAATATTTTAAGTATTTAGTGAATTAAACTCGTATGATAACCTAATATTTATACCACTTAATATTTTAAATACTTTTTAAAAATATGTTAAAATTTTATGTAGCAAGTCACCTACTTATGATTTTATAAAAATCTAGAAAAATTTGAACTTTTTCAAAAAAAAAAGTAAAATTATAATTTGTCATTATAATGCGGGTTTAAAATCAATATTTTTCTAGAGCTCGGATGACGCAATGGACCTCACGAAATCAAATTGCCATGTCAAATTTCATCGAATTTTAAAATAGTCAAATTTTACACGTTTTACGAGAAAATTGACTGACTAATGACCTTTCAAAAGCTCCCAAAAATAGAATTTATAAAATTTTCTTATAATTAGATAAAAGTTCAAATAAAATTAATTTGAACTAAAACTGAGAATTAACTAAGTTGTTTTGGGACAAAAGCGGACTCGAGGGCAATGTGGACTGCGCAATTAAAAAGTATAAATATGGCAAAATATCTAAAATATCATATATTCTCAACCCCTAAGTCAGCCGATCTCACATGTTGAAGAGAAGAGAAGGGAGAGAAGAGAAAAATCAAAAATTCAACCTTTCTTCTTGCGATCCAACGAGTTCCGTCGGTTGAAATTCATCGAACCAAGAATTAAAGTTGATCTACACAAAGAGGGCTACACATACGTACCAAGAACGAAAGATTTCACCGAAGATCCAAAGAAGGAATTTTGAAAAAATCAAGTTTTTGGAGTGGTATTGCAGTTCTTGAAGTTTCTACCTTATATTCACACTCCAAGAGGTAGGATTTCCTCCTACTTTGAACTAATCTCTATTTTATGGTGTCCATATGTAATAGGTATATGTATGGGATGACTTATGACTTACCTACAGTCATGGAAATTATAAAAAGTGGTATAGAAATGACCTATACCAATTTCTAGCTTGATTTGGTTATGTGGAAGTGCTTGTGAAATTCCATGAAATTGGATTTTATGTGGGTATGCTATATGTTTATAATGTGTCTTGTGAGTTAAGTGTGTTATTGACATAGATTATGTGGTAACATATTTGTAAATTAGTTGAATATAAATGTTAGTATACGTTTATTGGTATGTTGACATTGAGATAGAAAATGGTAATTATATGTTTATGATATAAATTGACATGACATATATTGAAATATGTGGTTAAATTGCTCATTAGCATTCCTTGCATATTGAGCATGACATCGGCATTGCAATGGTGCATTACATTACATTGCACGGGAAAAAATACATCCATAGTCATGAATATGGGTGTGTGTGTGTGCATGGTTAGATCAATCATCACACTTGGTGATTGGTGATGAGCTCAAAAAAAATTGGATTGAAAATCTAACTGAGTTGCATGATTGCATGAAAGAAAAACTTGTGTCGGGTATAGCAAGAAAGGCTAGACACTCCCTTGAGATTCATCTTGAATAGCATGTTCTTGTACGAAATAGACTTATGATTGCAGTTGTTGAATGTAAATATTGCATATGCATTTAAGTGGGGAGTAACCTCTGTAAGAAATATTCTATTGGGCGTTGGCTCAACTTATATGGAAAAACATTTCAGGTGCGGGATCACACCGATGGACGGCTCTCATCCGGAGCCTCAAGGGTGAAGAGGGGTCGACATGTGGCCCTTAACCTTGGTTTTGTTGTAAACTCTTGTTAAAACTACGTTTTGACATATAAATTCATATAAATTAATTGTAATAAACTTGTATAAATGAGGTTTTATGTGGTTAGATGTAAATGAGATGGTTTGGAAAGGATTTGAAATGAAAAACAGGTAAAACAGGAAAAAATAGGTACAGTGAGGTCCAGTAGGCAACCCGTACTGGTACGCTTTCCAAAAACCAAAAATTTTTGTAATTGTGTTGCTATACTTATGGGCTTTAGGGTTCTTGGTTGAAATGATACAAATGAATCTTATATGAGATATATTGGGGTATATTGAATCTCGATAGGATTAAATGATTAAAGAAATACGAATTTTTCATGTGAGTTATTATTCCAGTTTAAGGGATACTATTAACGTGTTGTCGGGTTATGCAGCATTCACGGATCTTTCTGCGGATTGACGAGTGGTCAACAGTGTAAAAAAAGGACCCCGATTTTTTAGGCGTCACAGATTTAATGCTTAAAATATTAGTTAGTAGGATTTTATCAATTCCTCAATATGCCCTCAATGCATTTGCCAATCTGAACTTTTCAATTCTCGCCATCCACCATCACCACAATTCTGCCCCCACCATCGCCACCACCACCATTATATCTCCACCACCACTATCATTATACCACCACCATTATTGTGTCATTGCCACTGTCACTACCACTATTGTCGCTGCCGCTGTCATCATCATTGTATTGCCGCCATCGTCATTGCCATTGTGCCACTACCACCATTACCACCACCGCCACTACCACTATTGTGTCACCGCCACCACCATCATTATACCACCACCATTGTGATAATGGTGATAAGAATAAAGTAGTTACGATGAGATGGTTAAAAAGAATAACAAAATTATAATAATAATACTAATTTTCAGCTTTTAGCTCCTTATATTTATCAAACTGGTTGATTTAAGTTAATACTCAAATTTCAATGAATACCAAATAGTCTGCGAATTAAAAAATTCAAAATTCAACACTTAAAATTCAAATTCAATTTTCAGTATTCAATTTTCAGTTTTATCAAAAATCACCTAATTCTAAGTTTAATATTTTTTGATAGACCATGCGTGATCATTCTGTGATGGATTCGATTGCTTGATTCTCACCATCATTGGAGGCTTATAGTGATATGGTTTTGAAATAGGAAAATGCTACACATCCTAAATAAAACTCAAAAATTACAACTCAAATACATATCATTCATTGGATGAGTACTTGATAAGTAAATCCCATGGAAAAAGTAGATGAAATTCATCCAAAAAAATTATATGTATTTCAATTGCAATTTTTTTGATTCCATTTGAGTTATATAACATTACTCATTGATTACAAGAGTGGTTTGTGTGCAACGGTTAGTCAAATCTACTTGTAAAGGCGAGAGGGAGAAAAAATAGGGAAAAAGAAAACGAGAGTAGAGGATCTCCAATTATGCTTCTCCATTTTAGGGAACATCTTTTCTACAATAGAGAACATTTTCAGTAAAAAATTACAATAGAAAATAAATTGTCACACAACTCCAATATATATTTCTATTCTTATTACTTTATTATTTTATATTGTCCTTTTTGCAATAAATTTAAATTTTCTCATTTTTTCTCCATTATTTTAAATGAGATACATTTAACCTAAATGTTTTGAATAAAAAGACATTATTTTTATTTTCTAAAAGAATAGAGTAGAGGATTAGTTTAACTCTCCAAATATAGAGAGTTAAATTAGACTCTTTATTTTAAAAAGTCTAAATAAAGAGCCAATTAGTGAATAAATTTTAGGATTAACTCTATCTAATAAAAAATTAAGTGAGAATAGAGAACCTAATCTCAGCCTCAGGTTCACAAAATATGGGCTTTTTCATCAAATATCCGGACAACACTAGCAAATTGACCACAATACCCAACTTGTCGAATGCAATTGTAAATTAAAAACTGGTAAGAACAGAAATGAGAATTAGAATATACATAAGAAAAATGCATATGCAACCTGAAAAGATATGATCCGCACAAACTAAATGCGTCAGTCTCTATTGTATATTTCAAATTCTAAAGTCCTGTTACCAGTAAAACACCAAGTCTCTGATTGATCTAATGGTAAAAATATATGTAATGCTTTAATTGAACAAAATTAATAATTGAGGGAAGAGACAATTTAGATACCAATTATCGTATTTACCCATATACAAAAGTGATGAGCTTAACCAACCCACTGAAGATGTTACCTTGAACAGATTGTAACCGGAGTCCTGATAATGAATTGGAAGTAAAATTCTCAAACTAATAATCGTCTTTTATGTCCACTCCAATGCCATAATTCCCCCCAAAACATTAAGTAAACAATGCTGTTCTAATGTATCAACAATTTTTTCATAAAAAACACTATATATATGGGGCACAATATCACTTCAAGCATACTACGATTTGCCTCAAGCCTATTGAATGTAGGCAAGAAGTTTTTACAACATCCATTTTTAGGTAAACATTGAAAACATATTTGACTACTATAATTACAACTTAACTAATTCAAGCTATACTGCATTCCTAGATTCTTTTTCGTTTCCTTTTGTGTTTTTGATCAGGGAAAGGGGAATATAAGTTATGCTGCAACATTCTGCAAATAGACCCACAAATTTTAAAGCATATAAAAAAGAGGGTATAACCTGATCAGTATTTAAAATGAGCATCTACTTATCCTGGCAACACAGCATGCAAACACCAACATTTAAATTGAAAGGTCGAGCAACATAGAATAACAAGAAGATCAGAACTGCAATTTCCAATAATTGCCATTTAGAAAAGAGATGTCCCCTTCCCTTTCTTGTCTCCACCAATTTCAAAATGCTTGCACCTCTGCAAAATAGTGGCAACATTTACTGTGTTAAATGGGAACAGCAAAAGAGAGAAGCAACAGAAAACAGCAAACTCGCAAAAGTTAATAGACCGCAAACAACTGACCTTAATTGGATGCTGGGATACATGTTTGCAACCCTGGCATTGAAGCCTCAACACAATCTTTTTAGTAGTTTTTGCCTAGTCAGTTGGGATGCAGCCGTAAGAAAAATAAAAATCTATTAATGAGTTCACTATAATTCATTGATGTTGTACTTCCAGAAAAAGAAACATACTGTCTTAGCAAGAAACAGAAACTTCATAAGTGCGTTCTTACCTTTTTGTGGAAAACAGGTTTTGTTTGCCCACCATAACCAGACTGTTTCCGATCATATCGGCGCTTGCCTTGGGCGGCCAAACTATCCTTCCCCTTCTTGTACTGTGTAACCTTATGCAAGGTGTGCTTACGACATTCCTTTGACTTGCAATAAGTCTTCTTTGTTTTTGGGACGTTCACCTGCAATTGACATTCAAAGTTAATGAGAGAAGAACATGATTCAAATTTTATTTGCTTGAGAGTAGGCTCCGTTGTCCGCTTAAAGCAAGACTCAAAATCTAACAAGAAGGAAATAATCAGGACCTGCTATTGCAGTTGGGACTTCCAACATAGCACACCTAACAATCCACTCAAACAATGCAACAAAATAAATAATATTTATAAGAAACTATAAAGCACGGATACTTCGATCGTAGTTATGTATCCATATCCAATATGTGTCGGATACTCGTTAGATACTCATGGATACACAAGGGATAATTTATGCACGTATTGATTAATTAATAAAATAGTTATCATTGATGGATACTTGTTTGATACACCTCGGGTATATCTCCATGATGGACACATTCCCCTTACACTTAGTGAGGTGAGTTGTGTAGAAAACATGAAGTAATCCTCATTAAGATGCTCATTTGAACATGCAATATATATGACATAAAACTTGGCAATTCTTGAACAGTTGTTTGGCTTGAGTAATGAGTATATATAACTTATGTCAAAGCCAATGAAGTTTATTACAATTACATACTAAATAAAAGTTGAGCTCCCTTGAAGGGTGTCACACTGGATTCAAAACACCCAGCCTCAATGTTAGTAAAATAATTTTTTTTAGTTTTTCTTTTAACTCTTAAGCCCACATACCCTTAGTATTGTAATGTCATCCTATTATATATAAAGATGTACCTTCGTCGTATCCATATCCTAATTTATAATATTTTACCGTATCGTCACAATCGTATCATACTGTAACCTGTATTTGTGCTTCTTAGATAAGAAACATTATAAGCAAATTCATGAATCATGAGTCTACCACCACCATAAAACAAGGTTAACCCATGATCATTATACAAAGTTGAACCAAACTATTATGGTCTTATTGCTCAATAATTTACACAATATATTAAGCCATAACTTCCCCTAGTTCTGAAAGCTTTCAAGATTTTTAATACCAATCATGTATCATTCAGCAACCTCTACTACTGGTTGCAGCTAGAATAAATTGTTTTGAATGATTAATTTGGTCAGCTTACTGGGATATAACCGAACTAAGTAAGATATTAAAACCCCATGACAGCATGGAGTTCTATACAAAACCAAAGTTTTACATGGGGTTTCCATCACATTAAATTGTCTCTAAATGGAAAGAGGAATTTTAAATGGAAGGCCATCTATAAAAATTTAAACATTTGAGGCATATGATTTCATTTAGGAAAAAGATCCAATTTCAGGAGACATAGCATTATACAAAAGTTATTTTTCTCTTAACCTCTACAAAGCATTGAAGCATTAGATATCAGCTTTTTTTAGGGAAATTAAAAATAATTATACAACTGGAAATATGCCACAAACCAAATGAATGCCTTATCCAACTCAAGAATAGACACTAAGTATCTAATCCAACTCAAGCTTACCAACTAACTATCATTTCCAGAACATAAAACAACTTTAACAAACTATAACTGCTACATGGAGAAAACAAGTAAAGGATACAAAAGTGTCAAACACTTGAGGAAAATTATCGAGCAATCAACAACACATCCAATAAGATTTGTTCATTACTAAGGTATGCTACAGCGATGCACCAGAACTCTCTCCATAGAGGGCATTCATGAAATGCGACGAGGATCAGAAATAGTTTTTAGAGTCTATGTCAAATTCAATGCACCTGACAAATAAACAAAGGCACGTTCATTTCTCAGTCCTAATTCCGAACAAGGATAGCTTCCAGCAATGACATCCTTAGGAACTAAATAAATAGGAATCTAATTCTCCATCTGGATTTTTCCTTTATGTAACGTCTAAAAATATATGCAAACAAACACAACCCCACAACCACCCACGGCACCGCAGGCATCACTACTACCCATCGATGCCATCCTTCAACCGACCGACTGGCGACCACCATGAACACGACCCATAATATGTAATCCCCCACCATGGCCACCACCTCAAGCGACATTACACCAATCACCACCGTAACTCGCCACCACAACAAATCAAATCCCTCCAAACAACTAACCCACCACACCACCAAAAACCGACATCAGAACTTAAAACGAAAAGGGGAAAACCCATGAAATTTTGCTATTGTTCTGGTGACGACGGACTGTAGGATTTATCAGTTTTTAGTTCCTCTATTTTCTCCGCAGCCAAACAATAATATTATGGTACACTGGTGAAGGGGCGGAGAGAGAGAGCGAGAGTTTACCATGGTTGATGTCTGATGGAGGATGAGCGAGATAAACGATACGACAGCAGCTGCTAGGGTTAGGGTTTGGCATTCGGCTGTTTGGGTTTTATAGCGCCGGGGCGCCCTATCGATTAGGATTTTGTGTAAGTTCGGACTTAATTTGGACCCACGGATGAGTAGCCGAAATGCTGGGCCCAAGCTCCGAGTTCACAAAGCCTATATCCGAAAGTTGGCCCCTAGTACTCGCCTAATTCTCGGAACGCGGAAAACTACGGTACTGACAAAAAAATTGTACTATATTTTTAAATTTTATAATTTTTATAGATCATTTTATAAAAAAAAATTATAATTTTTTATATATTATTTACGACTTTTGTGAGTATTTTTTATAATTTTTGTAGGTGTGTTTTATAACTTTTGCGGCAATTGTATTAAACACTTTTGTGGTACCTTACAATCTCAATCAACACAATGTAACTAATGGTATGGTAATTGATGGGGTGTTTTACGCAGCTGAACAGAGGTGAATTACTTGAAGGCTTGGGGGTCATTGGAATGTCCAATCAGAGCTTCTAGGGTCGTGGAGGTTGAGTTATGAATTCAGTCAGATGACAGAAAATAAACAAACAGAGAATTTATGATGATTCATCAGTTTGAAAATTTGACTAATTCACTCTATTAAAATCTTTTGCTCTTAGGAAATTCTCTATTAATTGAGAAGAAGGTGATTACACAGAGTAAGTACACAGTTTATTGCTTGTGTTCTATTGTGAGGGATTTGACCCTTATTTATAGCCTTCAAATGACTTATCTGATTGCCTTGTGTGATCCTTGCCATTTCTTTGTAACTGATGCTTTCTTTGCACAATTAGTGTGAATAATGCTAAGGTGGTTGCGACTCACTTGCCAATATGTTGGGTCGTTGCGATTTATATGCAGCCTTCTAGTAGGTGCCAACTGTTGCTGTCCTAGTGCCCATGAGGATCTTGTTGTTAGAGAGCCTAGACTTGCACATCCCTTACTGCTTGTCATGAGCTGCGTGGTCTAAGTTTAGACGCTTTAGGTTGAGTAACCCGAGCTCAACCTTAGTCAATTATTTGGTATTATTAGTTGCCAACCAGTCCCCAACTAGGTAAGGTTTGTCTGACGTGGATTGGGGCTGACCTGCATCATTGTGGGGGAGATCAGCTTGGTTTGTTCTCAGGATTTGCATGATGGGACACTTTCCAGCTTTTTTGGCGTTGCACTCATGTGAGGAGTCATTTTTATCTCGTTTATCACACACATTCAATTTGTGTGCGTCATGTGTCCAATTGTACGAGCACCTTAAATGCCTTCGCAGGCTAAATCGCCTTTATCATTATTTTGAATTTCTTGGCGTTTCTACCCAGAAAATTTTTCTTTTCTCTCTTTGCCTCTTGCGATTTCGCCTTTCTCTTCTTCTTGGCTGTCTAGGCTAGCTCTATGAGTGTTCAGAATCATTTGAAAGTCTTCTTGAAGCTTGCTTTGTTCGTTCCTAGTGTCCACCTTGGGTCTTCGATCGTTGAACGTCCTCGATTTCTAGGTACATCCTCTATCTTGCTTCCCTCCTGCCTTCTCTATCCTAGGGTTTTTACTTACCCTGAATCCAAATTTGAGGTAGTTATTCCACTTCTAGACGATCCACTTTTGTTATTTAAGGAGTCAAGGTCATTCTCTGTCTATACTTCCCCTAAGCTATTGCCAAAAATTTCCTTTTTGGCTACTGGAGTATTGACCCTTGGGCTCCTCTTGAGGACTATTTTTTGAACATCACCTCTCTTTATGCGTCTTTTGGTCACTCTTTTCCCTGTGTCAACATGTTTGCCTCTTCCAAAGTCACTACTTCTTTTGTCTCTCTTGCTATGGTTGATAGATCTCCCGAGTTTGAGGTTCGACCTCGTCGTAGGAGGCAGACCGAGGATCCTTGTGACGCCCCTAAAACCGTCAACTCGCAGAAATGCCCGTGAGTGCCGCTTGATCCGACATTACACTAATATTATTCCATTACCTGAAATTTTAACTCACATGTATTACCTGTGTTCCTTTAATTATTTAATTTAACTGTGGCTCAAGGTACCACAATTCATGCATCTCTATTGCCCAATTTCATTTTTGGAACCAAAGAAATCAAAGACTGAGAACACAACACTTTAGTTTTAAAGTTTCAAAATTTTGGAGAGAGTACCAGTACCGTCTGGATTGTACCGGTACTGTCTGTCTTCCAAATTTTTTTTCAAAGTTTTGGAAAGAGTCCTGGTGCTGTCTGCTTATTGGACCAGACTGTACCGGTACTCTCTGCCCAATTTAGCCTATTTTCACTGGTTTTCCTTTTAAAACCATTTCAAATCATCCCATCACCATCTAAAACATGTCTAACAATGTTTATCACATAAAACTTGATATCTACAAGTTCTATTACAATCCATTCACATGATTTCGTACACAACACCGTAATTTTACAAAGTTTATACAAAATGTATTACAAAAGTCACAAGTCGACTTTTCTTCATCTTTGAGGCCCCGAATGAGAGTCCTCCGCCAGTGTAAACCCCGCACATGAAATTTGTACCCGTATAGGGTGAGTCAATGCCCAATAAAATATTTTCTACAAAGGCTACTCCCCTCATAGATGCATATGAAATGTACACATGCAACCAATGAAAACCAATATCCATTCCAACAAGAACATGTAATTCAATGTTGAAAAATCATTTTGTCATGCCATGAAATGAGATGAGACTCACTCATGCACCTTGTCTCGAGTTCACACCAACTCCCACAACACAAATGTAATGCATGTGTGTAAAGCATTTGTCCATGATGAAATACATCCAAAGATTATTTTGAAATACAATCATACATTCATAAAACCCATTCATTGTTAGATGTTTCCCATCAAATGAATCATTTATATAAACCAAAATCATGTGTCTTTGCTGGGTATCGAATTTTGGAATCACACCACTAGCTCCGTACAGCATTACACTTTTCTAGAATTTCATCTCAGGGGAGTGTATGAACCAAGTAGTCGGGCCTTTCACCTGAGGGAGTGTCTAGCCCTTCTTGTTATATCCGACACAAGTTTTTCATGCATGCAACCGTGCGACTCAATGAAATCTTCAATCCCACTTTCCCGAGCCCACCTTCAACCACCATATATGATGTTTGAATCAACCATGCCCACGCACACCCACATTCATGCCTAAACCCATGAATGTGATGTCATATCATGCCCAAAATGCAATGAATGTCAAATGAGTCATTTAACCACATATTTTCACTTATGTCATAGCAATTAATATCAATTACATATAATTACCATAAATCAACATGATGCTAATATATTAACACATATAGTAACTTATTCATTCTCAAAAAAGTTCACATAGCACTTAGCAAAACACCGAGAAGGCAACAATAGAATGCATAGTATGCCCAAAAATGTTAAGTTCCAAGGGATTACACAAGTACTTCCTCAATACCGAACTTTGCTAGGAATTGGTCTAGGCCAATTCCATACTCATTTCCTCTTTTATTTAACCATAATCAAGTGACTTAGGTATCTCATACCCTTACCCATTTCATAAAACATTATAAGTAAGAAAATAAACCAAGGTAGGAGAAACCCTACCTCTTGGAGCATAAATAGAAGTAGAAACTTCAAGAACTCCAACACCACCCCAAAAACTTGATTTTTCCAAAATTCCTTCTTTGGATCTTAGGTGAAATCCTTCATTCTTGGTACATACGCGTAGCCCTCGTTGCGTAGACCAACTTTAATTCTTGGTTCAATGAATTTCGACCGACGAAACTCTTTGGACCGCAAGAAGAAAGGTCAAATTTCTAGGTTTTCTTTCTTCTATCTCTTTCCTCTCTTCAACGTTTGATTTAGCCAGCCAAGTGGGTGAGAATATTTGATTTTTTAGATATTTAGCCCATATTTATACTTTTTAATTGCGCGGTCCATCTTTCCCCACACGTTTATTACTTCTGGGTCTGTTTTTAACCCGAAACGACTTAATTAATTCTCAATTTCAATTCAAATTAATTTTATTTGAACTTTTATCTAATTATAAGGAAATTTTATAAATTCTATTTTTGGGGACCTTTGTGAGATTATTTGTCACCTAATTGTCTCGTAAAACGTATAAAAATCCGACTATCTCAGAGTTCGACGAAAATTGATATGACAGCTCGATTTTGCGATACGAATTCAATGGCGAGGTCCATTGTATCATCCGAGGTCTAGAAAATATTGATTTTAAAACCGCATTATAGTGACAAATTATCATTTTGTCCTTTGTTCGGACAAGTTCAAATTTACTTAGGTTTTACATTCTCTCCCCCTTAAAAGAATTTCGTCCTCAAAATTCATAAACATATATACATTCAAACACATGCTTATGCTATAGTTATGCAATACTACAAGACTATAAAAGTGTACCTCTATCCTCAAATAAGAAAGGAGACTATAAAAGTGTACCTCTATCCTCAAATAAGAAAGGACAATTGGCACGGATAGTGTCCTCGCGCTCTCATGTCACCTCCTCCACTTCTCGATACTGCCACAACACCTTCACTAGCCTCACAGTCTTGCCTCATAAAATATGATCCCGGCTATCCATGATTCTCACCGATCCCTCCTCGAAGGTCCCATCAGCATCAACAACAAGCTTGCCCCAATCTACCACATGTGTTAGATTTGGAGTATATTTTCGGAGCATAGAGACATGGAATACCGCATGAACACCCGACAGATTTGGCAGTAACGCCAACCGGTAAGCCACTGTACCTACCCTCTCGAGTACCTCAAAGGGCCTGATATACCTCAACGCAACTTTTTCCGCTTACCAAGCCGGACTACTCCTCTCTTAGGCATCACCTTGAAGAAGACATGACCATCCACTTCAAATTCTAAAGGCCGTCGTCATCTGTCGGCGTAGCTCTTCTGTCAGCTCTGAGTTATGAGAAGACGCTTCCGTATCAAGTCCACCTTCTCCGAGGTGTCTCTAATAAAATTCAAACCCGTAGAGGGTCCTTCTCCCACCTCCATCCAATAAACCAAAGAACGGCATGACCTCCTATATAGTGCCTCATAGGGTGCCATTTGAATATTCATTTGATAACTGTTGTTGTAGGTGAATTCCACTAAAGGTAAATGTTCTTCCTAGCTACCCTTA